TAATGCCCCACATCCATCTCCTCCCCCTTTTTCATTCTTCCTAGAGCTTTCAGGCTTGCTTAAAAGCAGTAGCGTCTTTCTAAATTGAGTTCATTTCCCACTACATCTGATCTAACTCTCGGGCACAATGTTTTACATTCCTTGTAGCTGCCTCAATTCATTTTGTGTATTTATCTGTTATTTACATAGATGAGAGTGTATATTCATGTATCAATTGTGAAAATTATGTTTTTCTTGATTTTGGCTGGCATTTCTATCACACTAAAAACCTGGATATTACTCCGATATTCTAAAAAAGATAGTCACTGATTACAGGGAAGAAAAAGTAGACATAAAGAGATGACTGTTTAATGCTATTAATGATTTTTACCATCTAGTAATATTTTCAGAAGATTTGTAGAAAACCAAAATAATGGGCTGATTTCCCTACAAGGGTACTTTTTGATGCTTTTTCTCTCTAGAATTTCAAATGATTTAAATTAAATTATTTATTTTATTGACTAAAGATCCTAAGAATCAGTGGTTTGCATTATTCATTCAGAAAGTATATTTTAACAGGATTTTGTAAATGAAAGAATAACAGATCTAGAATCATAAATCCTGGTTTTCACTCTGGCTGTGCTGCAGCTGGCTTTTGCTAAGTCACATCACTCTTGTAAGCTTCAGTTTCCTCATTTGTAAACTGAGGGGGGTTGAATTAGTTTATTTTTAAAGTGATTTCCAATAATAACATTTCAAGATTGTCCAAACATAAAGCAAGAGAACAGATCGTGGGAGAGATGACACATTCTGGTTGTATCTGAACTCTATGTAGCGGACGGTTACCTTGTCAATATTCAAAGGAAGTACATATCTCCTAACTTCAGGCTGGGGTGCTTTCCTGGCATTTTTTTTCACCTCTTCCCAGTTCTCACGTAAATTGGCTAAATATAAGTAATTGTAAACAAATTCAAATCTGCAAAAATAAGAAGTCAAACATCAGCACACACAATTACAAATAATTGTAGAGAGGTGATTCAAGCCATTTAGGAGCAAAAGCGCCTGCCTGATCTTTATTCCCTGACCCAGAAACTGCTAAGAACCCAGGTCTATCAGAGGCATTTAGCTCCTGTTCCACACTGGGTGAGAAAAAGACACCTGCCTCATGGATATGTTTAAATAACAGCAGCCCTTGATACTTTCTATTCCGCTTCTCCTTTACTATTCTGTCTGTGTCTTTCGGGCTACTGTCTTTAGTCGCTTAGCTATTTTGAAGAAAGCATTCCTCTGTCTCCCAAACCCAGAGTGGGTGGAGTTCAAGGCCTCCCAAGAGATCTTGTCAAGTTTAAGTGAAGCTGAGGTTAAATTCACTTATTAGCTCACAGAATCTTATCTCTTCAGGTCTGGTTCATGGACCTGATCAGTGTTTAATCATTAACCATGGTTTTGATGTTCAATTTGTGAGAGTTTCTGATTACCTACACTCCCTACAGATTTTTCGATGTTATCTTGTGGCTTAAGCATACTTCCTGCTTTTAAAAATGTAATTCTGGTTAAATATGGAGAGTGGTATCTCTGAAAAAGGCCTGTCATTTCCAGGAGCAACTGAAGATGTAAAAATTACCCACTGTTTTTTCTTACCCTTTCCAGCAACAGAGATCCACAACCAGAAATTCATTGTCTTCATAGGTATTGATGTGATGGAAAAGGTTAAAAGAAGAGGTCCTGTATTTATTATTGAGGTACTTTCTTCTTTTTTTGTCAGCAATATGAAGCCAAACCTTAAAAATAAGAAAAATATTTTGATGCATTTAAAAAGGAACAAAAGTGTGCATTATGAAACAACTTCTTCAGGATCACAAACTTGACCAATAAATGTTAAAACTTACCCCCATGGTTTCATTGGACTCAAAACAATCCATGTAGTTGGCTCCCCAAAGACTCCATGAAGAAAGGAACTTGAACAGGTTAATTTTGACTGGTGTCTCCACAAAAACGATGTAGTTGGGAGTCAAACCAAAACTGTTTAGAAACACAAATGGACTTATAAATGGGAAGGACTGATTCTCAAACCACAAGGAAATGTGTGTACATGAGGTATGCTTAGTTACGTGAATCAACAGTGCCTACATGAAATTAATTATGCTTAAATTTAGGTTTCTGTAAGAAAATGTGATCAGGATTGGTATCAAAGGTAGGCAAAGCAGATCTTTAAAACTGAGTTTTCCTGAAGATTCATAGTGGGCCTTCAAAGTTACCTATGGACGTAAGATGGCTTGAATCGATCACTGCAGGGAAATTGTACAACGACCTCTGACTTGCTTATTGGATCTTCCTTGTCTGAAATAAAGTGGTTTTAAAAGGCTTTGGAACAGCCTTTTTTTTTTCTTCTTAAGACAAAGCACTTAGAACAGCTTATGCAAGCAAAGACATACATTTTCAGATTGTGATTTTTTTTCAGAGCTTATTTTTATTTTCTTAGTTATTGGCATTTCTTATTTTCATGTGAAGCTGCAATCACCCAGGAAAACCCAAATAGCAACAGATTTGGAAAAGTGAACTCAAATAGTATTGTGGCAGGCAGAGTACAGTGGAGTCATGTCTTACAACGAGGTGGGTTAGGTCAGAAGTGTAAGGAAAGCTTTGGTATGCTCAAAATGCCTTTTACAATCTTTTAAATTGCCTCCAGAGTATAGTACATATGCGTTTGTATCAATAGCCTTGTACAGTAATTCTTATGCATACTAAAATTTATTTACTCCTAAATCACTGGTCTTCAAAACCTTAGTGTGCATCAGAATTACATAAAGAGCTTCTTAAAGTACCGATTATGGGACCCTCTCCCAGAATTACTCATTCAGTTGGCCTTGGGTGGGGCTCAAGATTCATATTTCTAACAGGCTCCCAGGTGGTGACCTTGGTGAGACTACACTTCAAGAACTATACTAAACAATGGTAAACAAAAATCCACATATATTCAAATAATTCTGTTGTCAAAATGGTTATCAAATTTCTGGCAATGAATGGAGCATGAATGGAGAATTCTAAAGTGTACTGTCTCTTCCGTTTTAATATTCTTTCTCTATAGTATTAATATGAGTTAATAGTTTGTAATTTTGTGAATTAAATATATACAAAATACTTAGCACACACCCATGTATATATGTATGTGTATGCTATTATGTATATACATGTTTGTTTAAAAATTTAATTTTGTCTGGCAGATGAATAAGGGCTCAATAAATGTTTGCTAGATCTTATGTGATTAAATCCACATAGACACTACATCGTTGAACCATTGTATCACAGAACTTGGCCACTTGCTTTCTGTATTGCCAAGTTATCATTTCCTGCTATGGTGCCATTGGACATTGGTCCCATTGTAGGGAAGGAGTGAGGGCAATTGTTCTGAAACCTGAGTGTCTTTTAACTGTGCATATAGTGCAATCCTGATATTTTGATCTGGCATCCTGTATTTCCAATAACTTTTTCACAATATAGATACTTGTTTTAAAAAAAGTCAAATTGGTAAACTGACCTGCTTGTAGTGGAGGGATCTTTACAATATTGTAGGCAATTGAAAAATTTTTCCCAAAGCAATTACCAATGTTGTAAACAGTTCCATCACTCTCAATGTGTGGGTGAGCCGTAGCCCCATTGACCGAGACGTAGTTGCACAGATCTACCTACGGAAGGAGAAGAAATGTCATCCATGTTAAGAGAAAGATGATATTACACCTTTGGTCCCTCGTTTGTGCCTCACCATTGCTGCGTGCACCCTCACCCTAAGTGCACCTTCTCTTTCTTTCCATCTCTCTGGCTCCTACCCTCTTTGAAGTCTTCCTGAATTCCCATCTTCAGTGCAGAGCTCTCCCTGACCCCCCTCTAACCCCACACATATCTGGAATCTTGGAGTTCTCCCTGACTGTGCTCTTTAATTGATGTGTACCATATAAGGTTCTGGCTGTTTTCCTTTTGCACATGATGATAAAGTTGAATCCTTGGGCTTCTTTATATTCCCCTTCACTGTATTGGATGAATTGTATGAAATTTCTGACATTTAATATAATTTTCATTTTACAAAAATAGCAATTTTGTATGGTGCAACCTAAATACCAAACCCAGTGTCCTGCGCAAGGCATAAAACTGGAACTGAAAGGAACCCCAACATTCATCTAGTATAAAAAGTCTTAAGTAGATTTCAGGGGAACCATGAATGTTCTGGGGTTAAATGCAAATGTTTTTGGAGAGAGGATTTAGTGCTTTAATTCATCTGGAGTCTCATAAGAAATTCAGAACCACTAATGTAGCACAAACCTCTCGGTTTACTGAAGAAGAAATTGAGGTCCCAGAGGGGTCAAGTGATTTTTTTCAAGGACCCAGAGCCACATGCTGGCAAAATAAGCACTAGAATCTACCTGGGACCTGCTCAGTATAGATTTATTGACTGAATAATCGATGGAGTGTATATTTCTTTAACCAAAAGTTTTACTATTTGATTAAGAGAATATGTTTTAAAGCATAGGGAGCTTCTAACATCCTTATTTCAATAACAGCCAAGACACTCATTCAGTCATCCATCAAGTAGTCATTGAGCTTTTGTTATATACCAGGCACTGCGACAGAGTCTAGAAAAACAGATGGTCCATGCTTTCAAGAACTTCAGTGTGGACTTGTGCTGTCCAATTGTGGCCACATGTAGCCATTTAAATTTATTCTAATTAGATAAAGCTTCACATTCAGTTCCTCAGTCACATTAGCCACATTCAAGTGCAGATATAGAACAATCCTATCATTGTACAAAGTTCTATTTGATTGCACTGTGGTAGACCAATTAGCTGGCATGTAAACAGTGCTCTAAGTGTAAAACGGTATTTATAGAGAAAGGCCATCTAACCCAGACTGGGAAGTTAGACAGGACTTCCCAAGGGTGATGGTTACAACTAATGCTTGGAAGATGAGTAAGTAGTCAGGTGGAGAAGGATGACAGTGTATTCCAGGGAGTGGGAACCCTAATGCACAGGCCCAAAGTTGTGAAAAGCATGCTGTTTGGGGACTACTAGTCATTTAACATGGCTGCTGTGAAGGGCCTGCATGGAGGAGAGGAGATAAGAAAAGGCCAGCCACAAAGACCCTTGTTTGGACTTGATCTTGGACTTGCCCTACATGGAGTAACACATTCATACTTGCATTTTAGAAAGATTACTTCTACTGGATTAAGGAAGTTGTGTTTAAGAGAATCAGGCTGGAAGGAAAGGCACTGATTAGGGGGCTGTTTCAGTAGCAGTAAACAAACAAACAAACAAAAAAACCAATCAACTTTTTAAAACTATATTTTTGTATGAAGCCAGACTGTATTGCTGTTCACGATGGAACCTGACCCCTAAGAAAGTCTATTCTGGAGCCATACCACGAGCTTGATGTTTTCAATTTAATTACCGTGGCGGTTGGAATACAGATTCACTATCAGAGTCATCTTCAGTCGTCTCTAAGCGATCTACACACATACTCATATGTGGTTCCAAACATACATCAAAAACAAGGAAGAGCTATTGAGAGTATGCTAAGCCTTAGGAAATAGTCTGTTGAGAGCTGTTGATCAGCTCGTGTCACTGAGAACCAGTGTTGGAACTATCTATTTCTTCTTTCTCTTCCTGCTACACTACATTTCTAGTTCTGGTCTTGAATTCTACCTAACTGGTCCCCTAATGATCCCATATCTCTTTTACCCTCCCATACAGCTTACCCATGGCAGATTAAATACCTAAAGCATAGCTCTGCTTATACCATTTCTGTGAGCAGAAACTTTCAGTACCTTGTCATTAGCTAAACCACTTATTCCATTTTTTTTTTTGGTCCATTATTCAAACTTTTAGTTTCGCCCTACCCTGAGTCCCACTATTCCCCTTCACATCACTAGTTCTCAACTGGGAGTGATGTTGCTCCCTAGGAGGAGGGTTGGAAATGTTGGAGAACGTTTGGGTTTACACAATGATTAAGGGCATGGCTGGTATGTAGTGGATTGGGCCAGGGATGCCAAACGTCTGCAGTGTGTGGGACAGTCCTCACGATGGTGAATTGCCTTCCACCCAATGCCACTAGCACCTCTCCATTGAAAAATAGTGCAAATCTAGCCAAAGAAATTATCCTTTAGTTTCCACGAGCATAGCCTCTATTTTCCTACCTCTCTACCTTTGATCACACTGATCCCTCTATCTAAAATGTCCTTTCTCCAAATTCATTGAAATTGACTTAAATGCAAGCCTTTAAGACCTTATTTGATCTCCCCACTTTACATTCCCCAACTGCTGCCAGAAATAATCTTCTTTTTTCTCTGCTTTCATAGGTTTTCCTTCTTCTGAAGAACACATCACATTATCTCTCCTATTATAATTAAGTTGTGTATTTGTTTAATTTCTCAACTAGATGTTAAACTTTCTGAATACAAGCACAATGCCTTCAAGTTGTTACATCTTAATAAATATTGGTTGAAAATGTGGATCTGTTTTATTGAGTGCTGCACTGAGATTGCCTCAGTTCTCAGCAAAATTTGTCACTGTCTAATATTGCTGATATTTTCCTCTATGCTATTTCATTTAAAATATAGATTTATTGGGCCGGCCGAGTGGCTCAGTTGGTTAAGAGCTCGCTCAAGAGTTTGAGCTCTGAGCAACAGCGGTTCGAGTCCAGCCCGAGCTGAGCAGCCGCTGAGCTGCCAACAGGTAGCAGGATGGCTCAGCTTAAAAAAATAAAAAAAAATAAAAAAATATATAGATTTATTTCTAGTAAGAAGTATCTATAGGGGCAAACTGGTACAACACTCTTACCTAAAGCCATGAATAGCAGGGTTTTTAATATCAATCGCTACAATTTTTTGAGCATTCAGCTGTGCCAGGTCCATGCCAGCCTATAAAAGCCGTGAAGGGTTGAGACCACATCATCTTACCCATTGGGGTATCCCTGACTTCTAGCTTAAGTTCTGGTACATGGCAGGTACTCAGTAAATACATGTGTCACAAACAAATGAATGAATAGGTTAGGCATTTTATAAAGTTTCATCCAATCCATATAATGTATTTAAAATATCATAGATAAAAAAGTGAAGTTTACCCTATGTCACATAGCTAGTAATTGATGACAAAGCAAGGATTTGAAAATCTGCCTGGCTCTCCTGTCCTTCCTACCAAATCGCACAGTTGAGTTAACTATTGAGCAATGTCACCTGGGCACTGTGTCCTACCTGCTTAATTGTCTCCAAGGTCTCGGGATTAATCTTTGTAATGAAGTTGGTCTCTGTGCAGGCATAGTAATCTTCCCCCACTGGGTAGATATTAACAAGGGCATTGTCAGTAATCTCTACTCCTCGAAAGTAAGAAAAAAACCTGCCAAAGCAAATGAATTTTTCAGTCCAGTAACTTTTAAGCCATCAGAGAAAAAGGGCTCATGTAAAATATCTTTAATAATATGCAGCTGGGTTTCAGTAACCTGGAAAATATGTTCTTGCAGGGATCTGGGAAAGCACAGGTGCCAAATTCTGTTATGACAATCCTTTTCTCAGTCATTGCCCGTACGTAAGCATCAGTACGGATGAACCTGGAGGACATGGAGACATGAGAGAGGTCATAGACAGGGACAATCAGTGTAGGTCATGTGGAGCTGAGAATGGTTATTCTATGCATTCTTATTGAGTCAGAATCATAAATCCACAACTTGAAAAATGAAGAGTATTATGAGGTCATTTTCTTGGGATGACCAAGGGAGAAAAAGGCAATGTGCCATGAGCTTTAACTTATGTTTTGTAAATCTCACAGTGACAGATAACGAAGTCGAGGTTCAGAGAAATTAAGTGCTTGGCATATGTTGCCAAGCTGAGTTAGAACTCAAGTTGCCCAGAGCTGGAAAAAGATGCATTTCCCATATCACATTATGCAGCCCCCATGGTAGTTCACATAGGACCTCTGACTTCCTGTAGCTTATAACCCGTCAACCTACACTTAGTGGGAAATATGGGACATGGTATGCTGAATTATATTTCTTTCCATCTCCCTTATGGCTCTCTTATGTTTTTCTTCAATTTTAAGAATTATTTACTACTTTTAAAAGTAGGTGTTCTTGAATCCAGTCTGTTGCACAGGCAGACCTCCTGAACCGTATCTCAGATAGATGGCAGAAGCTGCCTAGGATTTCTCATGTAGAGAGCCAAATAAAATCTGATTTTGCCTTTCCTCCAAACCATATAATGTAAGTGTTTACAATTTCATAGATGAAGAAGCAGAGTCATGAAGAGGAAAAAGTACCAAGGTCTTCAGAAGGCATACGCCTTGTCTGACCTCCAAAACATGCATTTTCATAGCAAATTTTTTGCTTGACCTGATCTGTTTCTCTTATATCACAGTCCCAGTTATCCTGACTACTCCAGGCCTCCATTTACTCTTCTTTTTGATGTCTCTATAGAATGCCTGACTTCTGTGGTGATCAACAAAGCCACTAACTGGCCTGAATATTAAAGCATAAGACAAACTATTTATTGAGATGTTATTGGGTGCTTCCTGGAGAGACAGCTTAGGCCTTCAAGTCTTTTACCAACATTCTCCTATCTTTTTGAAAATGTCTGTGTCTTGTATTATTATGACATATTTGATCCTTACCTCATTTGTGCCACACCTTCCTTCTTTCCTGTGGCCTTTCTGATTATAAAACAAGGGAAGGAGTCAAGAGAGCCAATGGCCTAATAATAATAACAACAATAACTGTAATAATATTATTATTAGGAAAATGCTTCCCATGTGCTAGGCACTGTTGGGTTTTTTAATCCTTGTAATGAACCCTGAAGTAGATTCTATTATTTTTCATTTGAGAGTTGACAAAACCAAGAATTAGATATTAACATCTTGCCAAAAGGCTACCCCACTTACACAAGTGGTATCTGGTGGATATAGGATTTGAAGCAGGCATGTTGGACCCCAAAGCCCTAGGTTTTAGCTTCTTCTTTATCCCATAGCACAGTCCCCAGGTATCTGTGCAGATACCCTGGCCCATGTAGATACTGAGAGAAGTGAGTAGAGAAGTCCCCTTGTGGGTTCAGGAGGTTGAAAAGCAAGTGGGGGGAACAGCTGAGCCAGGCCCCACCCCTAGCAGGAGGATGGGGCCTAGGGTTCTTTTACCTTCTATGGTATGTGACATGTCCTTCTTTAAAGTCAAACTTGTGCAGGAGGGCTTGCCCATCAAACAGGTGGTAAAATGGCTCAGATCCAACTTCAAAGAGTCCTGGCCCGCATCGAAGGAGACTGCCGGTGAGCCAGAGGGGGATCCTGCCTGCGATAGATGTGAGACACAGAACATTGCTCGTTTCCCCTGCCTTTGGCTGGGCGGTCTCTGGGAAGGCGCAGTGATTGTATTAGCAGTCTGACTGGGCAGCCTCTTCTTTATAAAGCTGGCAGTGGTGATCATTTCCAGCTCTCACTCCGGGCAGCACTTAGCAAATGCCTTTGATCAACTGTCCTTTCACTAGGAGACCAAGTGAGGGGGGTGGTGAATGTGGCAGTACCTCAGAGTTTGGATATAAGTCTAGAAGGAGATGGGGAAAAACATCTTGAGGGGAATGGGATTCTCTACCCAACAGATTTCCCCAGACACCAATACGTTTGTCTTCAAGAAGAATTTCAAATTTCTTGATGTATTCTGATGGTGTAGGGGTAAGAGGGGTGGATGAAGAGCAGGGATCAAGACACTAAAATAAATGTGTCTGTAGAATAAATTATTTAAAACAAGCAACAAGAATATTGGCTTTTCAAAATCTAGAGCTCTATTCCTTTGAGGGTATGGGCCACCGTCCAGGTAAAGGTCAGCGTGCTGTGGCAGAAAGCACACAGGGCTGGGTGTTAGGGACCTGCACGCTGGTTCAGGATTTACCGTGGGCTATCTCCAGGCCTCAGTGTCCTCACCTGCAAAATGAGGGGTACACAGGAAAGACCTCAGGCCTTTCTGTTTCAGCAGGTCCATTTGTGCCCTGTTTTCCTTTCAGAAGTACAATATTTGTTTGGCAGTGTGGGCTTAATCCTTACCAATGCTTTTTGTTTTGTTTTGTTTTTTCTTTTTTTTTTTTGAACAAATGGATTCTTTTCTACAGCTCAATTTTAGCAACCCACTTGATAAGGGTTTGTATTTATGACAAGAAACTTTAAGAAGGCATGGTTTAACTAAAAAGCACGGCATTCATTTCATTGCTAGAACCTAGATTGTTAGTGTCAGAATCTAGTTGAGAGCATTTGGCTCATCCCTTCTATTTTACAGAAGAGGAAATTGGGAGGAAAAAGACTCACCTAAGCTTTGGCCCTTCCCATAACACCAAGTCCAAGCAAGGATGCTGTATAAGTCATATGGTGTCTTTGGGGAATGAAAACAATCGTATTAACTACCACCTATTGATCATTTTGTGTCGAATGCTGGATGAATCTTTCTATTTACATGATCTCATTTAATCTTTACAACACCCGCATGTAGTAAAATTTGTTTTTTGGTAGGTGAGGGGATTGCAGCTCAGAAAGTTTAAGTAACTTGTATGATTCACAGCTAGTAAAATGATAGAGGTGCAATTAGTACCTACATCTGCTTGACTCCAGAACCAAGACTCTTCCAATATGATGGACATAAAACCTACCACCCTTTAATGTAATATTCTCAGATACTTGTCCCCGGGCTCTCATTTATTTATATACTGACAGAACAGGCATTTATAGGGCAATTATTATGTGCAAGGCACTGAGCTAGGCACTGGTAATTTAGAGGTGACAAAGATGTAATCCTAGTCTTCAAGGAATTCCAGCTGGTAGCCATTTCGCCACATTAGTGAAATAAAGGTAAGTGAGCAGAAATGGGTTCTGGGTATAAAAATCCCCAACCTCCAGATTCCCCTGTGCAGCCCACAGGGGGAGCCAGTACTGAGAGATGCCAGTGAATAAAAAGGCGGAGAAGGGAGATAACAACAAAATGGAGAGGATGGCTTCCAGATGGGTGACACCTACCTGTGACATGAGCTGTGAGTGGCGAGGAGAGTTCTTCCACAGTTTCAAACAGTTTCTTATAACCGCCAGCAGGATGCTCGACTCTGAAATGGTGGAATAAGGAGGGAGGGGCTTATGTTGATGTTCAAAAAAATTCACAGAAGCAGCGACAGAGCTCCAGGAGAAAAGGGGCTCTCTGGCTCAATGCCAACATGCGTGCCCCAATGGTCCAGCCTCGGCTAAGGGAGCACATGGTGCTTGGGGGGCTAGAAACATTCTCCAGAGGGGCCAGGGCCAGTTCTTCTCTTTTAATGTCAGGGGACATGACCTCCCTTTTAATGTCACAGTGGACTTAATCCTGCCCTCTGTAGTTTTTCTATATATCTGAGGATAAATCAACTAATCCTGCTGCCATCACTTCTCTTCCTGACAGCCCTTCCCGCAGAATTACGCTGCCTTGTTGCTACTCGCAACTTACTCCATCTTGACTCTCTTGCTTCACAGAGAGCCTCCTCTCTTTCCTGCCTATGAGTTTAGAGACAACAGCTTTTTGGGTCACTACCTCATCCTTTGTTATTCACCCATATTATGCCATCGTCCCCTCCTGTCATTTCACGTCTTCACCTATCTCCAAGAGCTACAGTACTTTTGAAAAGTAGTCAGATGAAGAGATTCAAGTTTCATATTTCTGCTTGTTTCTTGGCTCCTTGCTTTGGGTCCATTTTATAACGTTTTAGAGTGAGAGCTCTGACCAGATTCCCTAATTATCATAGTTATCTTTTATTAAAAACTTACCATGTGTCACACATCATAAAAAGAACTTGGCATGCTATTAGCTTGTTTAAATCCCACAGCCCACAATGGGATAAGTACTATTGTTATACTATATATGGAAAACCCCAGACTTTAAAACATCAAGTAATTTGCCCCAAATCACAGAGCTAGGAAGTGGCTTGGCAAGAACTGGAAGCCAGGTCTACATTATTGAAATCCTCATGCTCATAGCTGCTTCCAAGATCCCACTGTAATTTAGACCTGAATTCTAGATATTTGCTTCAATATAAAACAGGAAGACACTCCCTCACCAAGACCCAAGGTCTTCCCTAAACAGGCCATCAGTCCTCTTCAGGGAAGACCCAAGATCTTCCCTAAACAGGCCATCAGTCCTCTTCAGGGAAGACCCAAGATCTTCCCTAAACAGGCCATCAGTCCTCTTCAGGGAAGACCCAAGATCTTCCCTAAACAGGCCATCAGTCCTCTTCAGGAGCTCTTGAAATAGCCCATTTGCCATCAATCCACTAAGGCATTTAAAAGAAATCTCCCAGAGATACTTACTGGATGGACATTTTCTCCAGTGGAGGATTGCGTTCTGGCACCAACTGCAGAATGAGGAGGCAAGTCCTCAGCCAGGGGCCTTTATATGCCTTCTAAATCCTCCTAAAAGGGGTTATAGCTTTGGGAACGCTTTCCCACCCCCTTAGCTGAGGGAAGGGGAACAGAAGTGGCTTTCAGTGCTCAGATCCTCCTGACACTTGAGCATTATTTGGGCTTGCTGTTCCCATAACAGTTTTTTGGGCTGTTTTCCAGAGGCCTCAATCCTTCCCAAAGAGAATGAGAAGTGGATTAGAAAGAAAGGAGCTGTGTGGGAGTGGCTAGCATCAGGCCTGAGCTGATCCAGGTCACCCCAGTGGAACCTGGCACCATTCTCTGGGGCCCGGCTCCCCCTACCACCTTTGTGTTCTCACCTTCACCCCCATTCACTTATTTCTTTACTTATTTAAATATATATATATATATATATATATATATATATATATATATATATATATATATATATATATATATATATTATACATTGTCTATGGACCGGATGGAGATGGGTTACAGTCCCTATTTGCACAGATCTTATAACTCTGCCAGGGTAACAGAAAACTAATAGACTAGTCAATAAAGTTTGTAAGTGCTATGATTGGAGAAGTGTGGAGTATTATGGAAGCACCTTAGAGCATCTCTAACCCTCTCTGGTGACTTATTAACTCCATTCAGTGCCCCAGTTCCAATCGTGCTGAAGACTATTGCTATGTCCTTTTGGTTTGTTGAGGATGAAACGCTTTTCGTATCCTTCTTTGTCACTACTGCCCAACCTCTCTCTACTGCACCTTCCTGCCTATTGGTACATGTTCTGCACTCAGAGAAGACAGCACTATTTCATTCGAATTTCTACACTCTTGTATTAGACATGATTTGTTTGCCAGCTAAAACATGGTACTGCCCAAAGGAGGCCCCAGAAACCAACAACATATATCTTACTCTAGCTAATGAGAAACTCATTAACCATTTAAAAATTATTATAATATGTAGTATGGCTACTCACACTAGGGCTTTTCAACAAAACTGCAGAACAATTGATCTGCAGTTTTTTATTTTTGTTTTGCAGATTTTGTTTTGCAATTGTTTTGCAGAACAATTGATCTGCAATTGATAGAAGACAGGAGCTTATTTTCCCAGCCTGTCTTGCGGGGAGGGTGCAGGCATGTGATCTGGGCTTCACCAATCAGAGGCAGGGGCAGGGGGTCTAGGTGGCAGCACACCCTGTGCCAAGCATCAGTGGTATCTTTATTCAGCCAAGGCTGTTGTGTTTCCACTGGAGCCATTCTACAGAGGAACCTGGAGCATTATCACTGGCCTGGTAGCCTCCCAGCCCCATTCTTTAGCCATCTTAGAGACCCTATTAGCTACCTAAGAGCTAAAATATTTGTGTGCTGCATTTTTTTTTTAAAGAGTTTTATTGGGGAATTGGTGGGATGGGAACAGTGCTGGGGGATTGGGGCAGGGGAACAGACAAGTTGCTGTCGTTTTGCTCTTCAATCAAGTTGTGGAGGACGTTGCTTCACTTGCCCAAGTTGGCACCATCATTGTGCTCCTCCCTGGAGAGGCAGTTCAGTCGCCGGCTTCTGGACTGCCGCTCACTGCGGCTGCTGGCCTCCCACACTGGCCGCCGGCTACACATGGTAACCCATGGCAACCCACTGCCACAGGGACTGCAGCCCACGCCGTCACCAGCGACCCACGGCAGCCCAGCTCCAGGTTGAGCTGCCATTCAGCATCTTAGCTGTGGAGGGCAGCGTTCACTGGCCCTCATATGTGGGATCCGAACCGGGGTCCTCTGGCATCCCAAGCGAGTTCTTAACCATCGCGCCACTCGGCCGGCCCTGTGCTGCTTTGATTAGCTAAAGTTGGTGTCTTGTTTGTAACTAAGAGCTATGTCTCTATAAAATGATGGTAATATAGGATACTGTAGTATTGCACAGGAAGAATATCTATATTTGTACACAGAGATACCAGAAGGATTTTCGAGAAGGTATCTAAACTGAGATAGAAAGAATATATAAAAGTTAGCCAGTCAATGGCAGGGAGAAGAGAATTCAGCACAGCATGTAGAATTTACAAAAGCCTGGAAGTGAGTGTGACTTGGGGAAATGGAAGACATGAAGCTACTAGAAATAATAATCATGGGCCAGATTTTGCAGAATCTTGTAAACTATGTAAAGAAGTCAAGACCTATATCATGAGAACAGAGGGAATTACTGAAATGTTGAAATGTTTTATCCAGAAGAGTGATATGACCTGAGAGAGACAGAGGGGTGGGGAGTGGGGATGGGGGGAACGTTTCAGTGATGCAGAGAATGAATTCTGATTATGATATACTCGTATTTATTAAAGAAAGACATCACTGGGCGCTGTAATAGTTTGAAGGCTTTGTAGAGATGTGGAATGAGTTGGAATCTGAAGGACTGGCAGGATGTAACACAGAGAAGATGGAGAGGACATTTTTGGTGAAGGCTGCAGAGTGAGAGAAGGCAGCATAGGCAGTTTGGGAGGCACACATTAGAAAGACTTTCTATCTCCCACACCACTGTTGTTGGATTTCATATTCTCAAAAGAGTTTCTTCTCCTTGAGTCGAGTTATGGGCCATGTTGAGATACCTGTACCTTGGCAGTCCACTACAGAGAAATTCCAGGAATGCCAGGACCAGCATATTTTCTTTATTTTCACCTCCCATTACAAGGCGCCAAAGGAGAAGGATTCTTGGCATCCAGATGCCAGCAAATCTACACTAGCTGAGTGATGGAGCATGGGGAAACTGCATTTTATGTGGAAGATTATTTCCTGGGAAAACCCATATTATGGGTGCCCACGGCTGCACCAAACGCTTTCCTTAGGTACCCCTGTGCTGCCTTTGGTATTCTGGAGTTGTAGCCACATTTAAAAACCGAAACTGATTTTAGTGATTTTTGCATTCTATTTCACATCTTTGGTAGCCTTTATTTTCCAACCTATTTCATTCCTGGAGTCCAGCTGCTTGAGAACTTTTTGTTTTAAAAATACAAATCATGGCAACTCATTCCTGGAAGGTTTACAGACTCATGGATCAGGTGAGTTGTCAAGTTAGTATGTTTCATTAATGTCAGGATGCAAACTAAATGCTGTGCACTCAACCTTAAGGAACCTTGAGTTCTTTGGGTGTAAAACACAGAAAATAAGCAAAAGCATTTTTTTTTTTAGCCAAAAGTACTCTACAAAAATATTAAGTGATTCTTACCAATGCTTATTCTCAGGGAGTTTGATTTTATGTCTAATCTTCCAGCTAATACCTCCTACCTCAGGGGTAACCCATTCTCCTGTTGGTTTGAAATCAGAGCAGAGCTGAGTTATATCCTTTCCACAGCATCATTTTAACATCTCGGCTCCTAAAGCCCCAAATGTAGACCTCTTTTTCAGGTCTTACTGTAATCTTCTATTGTTTCAGTGTGATACATGAAACCTCCAATGTATTGTTACTTTTCATTTTATCTTCTCCTCTTATTCTCCACCTTAATTTTTTGTTATTTGATAAAACCAGATCTTCATGTTGAGTTTCTGTGTCTGCCAAAGAAACTTTCATTTTGATACATGTTGGCACATTTACCAAAATAATATTCCATGAATCAAAACAGTAAAACATCTTTTTTCAAGCAGAGATTTTTAAATAGGAACTGATTTCACATTTCTTTGGAGAAACCATTTTTGAGAGTATAATATAAGTTACTTTTTCATCCTGGTATTAGGTAGACCATGCAGGACCTAGGGGTCATGGCGAGGAGTTTGGATTGTATTCAGAGAGCAATGAGAAGATATTAGAGGATTTTAAGCAGAGAATGACTGAGTTTATCTGATTTATTTTTTGGGGAAAAAATCGGTTTCCCTAATATTTGAAGAATGGATTATAAGTGTCTGGAGGGAAAGCAGAGACAGCAGTAGTTCAGGTGAGGTGATGATGGTTCTTAAACTAGAGTAGAGCAAGGCAGGTGGAAAATATGGGGATCGATTTGAGATCTGTTTTGTAGGTAGAATATAGGACTTTTGTGATATAATTGATATGTCTGGGATGTTAGAAAATGGGGTAAGGTGGTATGTAAATTATCTATAGCATAAAAATTAAATACCAAACCACAGTGCTATCCAACAGAGTCTGGGGTGGTTGGCTTGGTAGATCTGCTGCTATGAGTTGGCCTTGCTCTCATAACTGGACTATGCCAGGCTGTCAGCTAATCTAGGTCTTGGCTGGAATGAGTCGGGTAACTTGGCTTTATTAGACATGTCTCTTGTCCAGTAGGGTAACCTGGACATATTCTCCTCACAATGGCAGAAATGAAAGGGAGCAAATAGAAACATGAAAAGCAGCTTAAGGCTTAAGCTCAGAAATGATACACTGCTACTTCCACAATCATTTATTAGCAAAACACATCATAAATCCATATTTCAAGGGGTGTGAACTATGCCTGTTTAGTGAGAGCTACAGCATCACATGGCAAAGGTCATGCATACAGGGAAGGGTGAAAAACGGGGACCATTTTTGCAGCGTGGTACATAGAAGAACCAAATAGGATTTTTAGGTTTTTGCTTGAGCAACTGAATGAGTGTCATGCTATTCTTTAAGACTAGGGGAGGAATGGTTAAGTAAAAATGGGTATCTCCAGAGTTCCCAATTACATCTGAAACGCTGTAAGATGTTCACCTTCTCCAGGAGGCTTGCTTCTTCATCCTTCTTCCCTCCTGTACCTGATCCTGCTTATCCTCCTTACCCTGAAGGTATGTGCTCAGTAGAGGTGGGATTCCAACCAAAGCAGTCTGATGCCAGAGACTGCATTCTTATAAATGTTACTTCCATCCACATATGGAACTTCTGGTAAATATTATTTTCTCTATTTCAGTAAATGCCCAATGATATTTTAGTGCTCTTTGTAGACATATGCTCCTGGAAGCTTCCCAGCTGACTTGCTCCTAATCTGTGTCTTCAACCATTTCCCAACCACAGTTTCAAAGTTATTCTTCTTCAAGGAAAATCAGACCAGGTCCCTTCTGTTCTAAGAACCTTTCAAGAGGTCTGCA